GTTAATTTGTGACCAGAATTATTTGCTTACGACGAAACGAAGTTGAATTTTATTTGCATTTCATAACAATTCAACAAATTTGTTTTTTGTACGTTATTATAATCACTACTGAGTAATACCGGTAATCGACAATCTTGAAACGCATCATGACTGGATTGCGCAACCGTGATCATTTGTTGCTCGGCAGTTGTGTTCGTTTTTACTTCGTTTAGAATATAATTTCGTTACCAATAAAATTAGGGGGAAAAAAGTGTATTTGACGTACCAGGGTCGTTTTTTTTTGAAAAAAATTACTCTGGGTGACATTGCAAGTTTTAGGCGGATAAATTAGCAGGTCACAGTGCATTCTACTTGTCTCAGTATTGACTGTCTCGCCGTACTTCAGATGGGACTTCACACATTCCATTGTGAAATGTAGATGCTAATAGGTGTTTTTGAAGACAATGGCACAGTATTTTACGTGATTTTACAAGCTCTATGAACTTTGTATGCGGGACAATGGCATCGCAAACGTACACAATGCCTTTAGACCTATCATAATACGACCGAGTCGCGTGCTCACCGGATGCGTCCCAGGGACTCACCAGTTAAAAAATGCATGCGTCCCACAGAAAAACTATGCTTCCCGGACGCGAAATTCCGCGTTAACGCAATCCCTGAAATATGGTAGGTTTTTCCTCCTGATTAATATATGAAGAACAGTCAGAAAATAAATTGTATTGCCAGACTTGCACATATAGGTGGGCGTGGTTAAAAAAACACACAGTTGGCGGTTTTACTTTTATTTCCCATCATGCATCAACATTTTCACTTTGGCACTTAGATGGTTTTGCTTGACATGCTGCTCGACACATAAAAATCATGCACACATTTCGCTGCGCCTTTTGTTATGTCGTTTTGAACACTTCAATTTAACTAGTATGACATGACCAAGGGTCGAAATGGGTAATTGTCCGGTTGTCCTGGGCAACCACTTTTGGTCATGGGATAACCAAATAACACAAAAATTACACATGTACGAAGAACACAACTACTGCTAAAAATCTAATATAATTCAAATTACTTATTATTTAAAGTTAATTTATGTTACAAATGTTCACATTGGGGCATCAGAAACCAAAACCAATTGTATTGGGTATTTCACAGGCACTTTAAAAGCAATATGCATTATAAGACGAGCTACCAGTTAGCAAAACGTTTGCTCGTCAAAAAAATATTTTTGTATCATTGTTTGAAAAAGGAAAAAGGTTTCTGTTAAACACAATTTAATTGATACAGACGCGACTGGCGAAAACATTG